CTGTGTCTTGCTCGACAAACTTGTTGGCCCCGCAGCTATTTTCAATTTAGATAAGTTAGCAACACAATTATTATTAAACTAAAGGTTGGATTCACATAATTTTATTATCATTGCACTTTACACATTTTAGCTTCTCACTTATTGTTGCTGTGACTGCTGTTTGCCAATTAATTATTAAAACTTAGTTCGCAACAACCAATAACATTTATTTATTCTGCACTTCTGCCACAAAGCAAAAATAAATAGTGTGAGTGAGGCATTATGTAAATGGCAAGAGAAAATACGGATTTATTAAATAAAATAAATGGCATTTTTGCTGAATAATGCATTTGCTTTTCATTTAATATATCTGATTAATGAAAATTGCACTTCTAAATTCTCTTTCCTATCATATATGTATATTTCAATGGACTTTTAATTTTATTTGCCAACGTGAGTGTTTAATGAAATGACTCCCCAACAGAAATATAGCCTAAATTACCCCAGAATTTTTGCACATGGTAAATGTCTTAATCTTAATGATAATCTGAATCCTTTCTGCTGCTCGATTTGTTACCCCAGCAAGTGCAGCACGGACAGCACAGGTTTAAATGAAATATTTAATGCCTGCACGACTCAGTGTCCCCTACGTTCAACCTTGGGCTGGCTTCTTCCGCCTGATTTAGTACTACATTTGTAAGCGGACACAAAACACTTAACAGCTAAAAGGGACTTTGCATGGGCAATGAGTACATCACCCACTGGTAACATATGCAAAACAGCGACGTCTTTAAGACAAAAAAAAAAGAAAACAGATAAAAATGAGAAAAACTAAAATGTAAAATGGAAAACTACAACTTTTCAGCATTAAGCTGAAAATGAAAACGAGACAAGAGTTTTCGGGCCAGTTGATTGATGTGCGGATGTTAGACAGCTGCTGTGAAGGGGAATCACGCATCGTCTGACCAAAAACACAAAAAATTGCGACAGGATTTTCTCAAAAAGGGTTCAGTCAACCTCACCCTGCTCTTGCTCTTGCTCTTGCTGTTGCCCTTGCCTAAGCCGTACGCAATGATTGTGCTTTAAGCACAACAACAGCAGCAGGAACTTCATTACGAGTTGTGGGCCTTGTGTTGCCTACTTTTTGGGGCTGGCCCCAAAAATTAATTGGCTGCTCGGCACGAGTCGACAGCTGCCATTTTGGGGTGGCCTCCATTTGTAATGCGTAGACATGTCGCAGATTCCCCGCTCCCACTTCTCCTCCTCCGTTTAGTTCAGGTGGGTAGCTTAAAGATTTATGATAAAGTCAGGCGAATGCTAAGCAAAGCAGAAACTTTGCAGAAAGTTTTGGTATTAGAATTCGCATTGGCTCATTGCGGCTCGTTTATCTATGAAGTGTATGAATCTGAGTGCCTAATCAAAACCACTGAGCTCCACAAATCAATTTCAACTTCATTTCAATAAGATTACTTTCGTTTTAGTTTATGTGGTGAATCTTTTAAGTTATGCTCGTTTTTTTAAGCAACATAAATTTGCAGTGAACGCTTGAAAAATACGACTTTTAGAATGTGAATAAAATGAAAAGTATAAAAATATTGAACATATTTTAATATGTGCCATTTATAAATTATTTTAAATTATGGAACTCTTGAAAACTCATTAAATCTTGGATAATATATTTGTGTATATTTTCAAAGTATTAAAATAAGAATCATAACCAAACTGCGAAAACTAATGGATATGATATAGATTTCTCTGTTTTTCAACAGCACTGAAGTGAACAGGTTACGGCATATCCGTTGGCGATTTGGCTGTGAATTGAAATTGCAGAACAGCTTTTTTGCTTGATAAACTCAATTGAGCTGCGACACATGCCCAAAAATTGTTTTTGTTTAAAGCTGTCCCCAGCGAAGCAGTCTCATCTGTCTCTATCTCTCTCTGTGCTCTCCTCACACCAATGATGCGATACTCCCCCCATGGGCTGGCTGTGTGCGTGTCGCAGCTTAAGCGCTTAAAATGCTTTTTGACAACAACAACAACAACAAAAACAACAATAATAGTAAGAACAACAACAAACAGCATTGAAATGATAAATTTGCTTTTATCCTATTTTCTACTGCTCTTTTTGGTTGGTCTTGTCGTTGTTTTGGCTGCTGCTGTTTTTGCTGCTGTCAGGCTCCTATTTCAATCCAAATCCCGAGCACAGCTAAACACCTCTCTGTCTCTTATCAGCATTAGCTTTTGCTTATGCTTATGCTTTAGTTGCTGCTTCCTTTGCACTTGTTAAATTTCATCGCCTGGCGGCTAAAATCACAACGTCGCCAATTTGCGCTCAATTAATTATGCTGTTTATTTCTTTTGCGTCTCATTTCTTTTACATTTTTTATTATTTTTTTCTTTTTTGTTCTGGTCTTTGTCCATTTTTGTATGTATATATTTTTTATGATTATTATTATTTGTGGCTGTACTTCTGATTTGCGGTCTTCTTTGTGGTTTATTAAGCGTTGCTGTTGTCGTTCTCACTTAATTTATGTTGAGCTGATGGCTTGGAGGCATATTTTTCATATTTCCACAATTTGTGTTTGAGAAATTCAGTAAATTATTCAATGCATATTATTCAATTTGCTAAGGGACATCCTTATGCGGTACATTAATTGCACTTATTGTTAAATTAATTAATTGCCGCTTTCTGTCGATTTATGAATGAACATAATTAACGCATAATTATCCACGAGCTCAAAACAATTCTGCTTGTGCGAGTGTGTCCTGCTCTTTGGGAAGTCCATTCAGTTGCCAGGCTCTCTCAAGTTGCATACAAAAAGTCGTTAAATTACCCATAGAAATGCTCATTTTAGAGCTCTTTACAAATACAGCATTTACTTTGACTTATGTATGCTTCTATGGGTAATTCAAAATTTCTTTGCCGTTTGCTTATCGGCAGCTCAGCTGCGACCCTGGCAAAAAGGGTCTGGTCTAAAGACTGCACTCAAATTAAACATTTTGCTTTATTCTCATGCTTTGACTGCCAAAATAGTCGCATAGCCTTTTGCAATACCCTTGCGGAGGGTAGTATTATTTTGTAAGGCAGCTTAAAGCTTATAAATAGATTCTTGATCAGCATTTTGACCTGCGTTCATAAAGCTTACTATTTTGAATAATGTGTTCGTGAATGAAAAACATTCCAGATATCTAAAGCAACCTCTCCAATTATTTGAAATATTTTTGTGTATTTTTGTGCATTTAGTTTTTTTCTAATATATTATTTTAAAATATGTTCGGACATCGGTAAAAGCGTTCTTGAGTATATACAAATAATATTTTAGTTTTTAGACTAACAATTATGAAAATTAGACTACGGTCTACCATTGGAAAATGCAATAAATTACTAATGCAATTTAGATGAAAGCAGCTTGGATAAAAGGGCATCTCATTTTCGACCTGCTGAAGACAGTTGTGCCAACCTGATTTTTTGGCTTTTTTATGAGAATTTTTTTGTTATTCTCAGCTTTATGCAGTATTTTTCACACTTGATATAACAGCCAGCCATTTGTTTGCACAGCAGCAGTAGCAGCCACACTGCTGCATGGCTTTGGCAATGCCATTTGGCAAAGTGAATGTGTGTGTGTCTGTGTGTGTGTGTGTGTGTGTGCCGCCTGCAGGTGTGCCTTTGTGTTGGTGTATGTCTGCTTGTGTATAATGGCTTCCAAAGCGTACAAACAGAACTGTCAACAACGGGTGGCAACAGCTGCTGTGTCTGCTTCTGCTGCTCCTTAGACAGCTTTTGCCATTGCAACTTCTCTGTACCCCTACTGGGGGTGATGGGGCAAGGTATCTCATCCTGAACGGCGGCTTCAAAGTGGAGCGTTCGTTTGCCACGTCTAATGCAATTTTTATGCTGCACTGCAGCCAAAAACGAAAACTTCCGTTTGTTCTTTTTGCTGCTGTCTCTGTCTATTGTCTGCGTTCTCAACTCAGAGCTCTGGCTGAAAGCGTGCAACAAAAGCGACGCGCTTATTAAATTGTCTGCACCCCGGTGTGCCCCTGCCCCATCTTCTTCTCCCGCTCTACCACCTTTACTTTCAAGTGTTTGCGTAGGGTTTTCATTCGGTTTATCCAGGTGAATGTTTTGGTTTTTGTTTGCTTTTTGTTTGCTTTTTGTTTTTGTGTTTAGCTGCTTTGATCGAAATAGCTAGGTTATAATGCAATTGACGAGGCGTGCTCCGAATGCGCATCCATTGACAGGCAGCTTCATTAAACGCATCGCAGCTGGGTGCGTGTCTTCAATACCGAAAGGATGCCCCAAGGACATGCGCTGACTTGCTCTTTACTGTGCACAATGCCTTATGCCTGACCACGCTGATTGCAAGCGCATTTAGCCTGCATTGTTAGACACGATATGGCATTATCAGAGAGGAAGTCCTTTCTTAAAGCAGCCACTTTAACGAAAGTGAGCAAACATAGTGGACCGATTTAATGTCAGCTTCTTAGGCCGATAAATAAACAACGATATTTTTTTTAATATTTAATGCGAAAGAATACTATAATGTGCTTTTATAGCAGAACATGTCGCATTAGCCAGTAAAAAATGTAGTGCCCTAGGGAAACATGTTTTATATTCGGAGTACATAGAAACCCTCAACACGACAACAATTTTCACATTCGTGCATGAATTAAGATTGATGAGTGACTTAGGGGCACATTTGATTCAACAGGTTGCAGTGGATGAAGCATCCCAATAATAATAATAATAAAATGAAAAAAAATCCATGCAAAAATCCATCTCTCAATCAATTTCCCAAAATTAAAACTCATCCTAGGTGAAAATTCCAATTCAATGTTTTCAATAAAAAACACTATTTTCACATTTTTGATAAGTAAAAATAATATTACAATATATCATATTTTAATATACCAACAAGCTGTTAGACAACCTTTAACATTTTATCCCAGTGGGGAAAAGGCGGAATTCTTCCGTTATTAAATAATAAATATATATTTAATAAAGATATGTTGTAACTCACCTTTAACCAGCGTTAGGATGCCCAGTGGCATGACGAGCACGGCAACCATTAAGTCCGTGATGGCCAGCGACATGAGAAAATAGTTGGTCACATTCTGCAATCGACGCTCCCAGGCAATGGCCAGACAGACCAGAATATTGCCAGCCGCAGTGCCAACGACCAGGACAAGGGCCAGGAGTGCCCAGTAATTGTTGGCATCGAGTGATGGCTCCGTTTGGTTGTTGGGTGCCGACGTTGACATTGTGGTCTCATTGCTGAGATTCCGATTGGCCAACTGCTGGTGTTGACTGTAGTTGGCCGGATCGGGCAGCTGCCAGATCAGCCAATGCTGCAGCTGTTCCACACTCCTCTCTAGACTGCTCCAGCTATCGTCATCCTCGGTGCCATCTTCGCTGCCACTGCCACTGCCGCCTTCGCTATCATTGTAGTTTATCGTTGCATAAACATCCTCCTCCATGTTCGCCAAGTGAATTATATATTTTTCTATGCTCTACTTGGTTTCTACCAGCTGCTGCTGTTGCTGCTGTTGCTTGTGTTGCATACTAATTAGCCAGAGCATATACAGTTGCAAAACTGTTTTGCATGTGCCAATTCAAATTGCAAAATGCAACGGAAACTCCGTGGTGCCACAGCCAACTATGCAGAATAGTCTGGTTATACAATTTTCATGTACCGTTTTTATATAGAACGTCAATGGGTTTGGGCCAGGGGTATTAGTACGTTGACGACAGCCCAACGGATATTGGTGGCAAACATTTTACGGCGCAAAATTACCGGAAGCTTTCTGTTGCAACGGAGAACGCGAGTCGAGAAAAGGAAAAGAAGAAAACGAATTATAACTAAAGCTTTCAACAAGTAAGAAAGCAGGAAAACTACTATTATATAATGGCAAAAAGGCAATTGTATATCGCCTTGTAACTACTCGGCATTGCTCGGGTCAAATATTTCATATTCAATTTCATTTAATATCTTTGCAAACGTGTGTCAATATTCATGGCTCAACTATGTACAATTTAATGCAGAGCCTTGAAAAAAGAAAAAAATGCAATAAAACCATGAGTACCCATTTTATTTTGAAATGTACACATATATTATATAATTTATAGAAACCTGTACCTCGAAAGAATGTTATGTATGTGTAAAGTGTATCTCCTAGTTGATCGTATAGATAGTATTACAGGTCAGGCTGATGTGCACTTTTCTTAATATTTATTGTACCTATTAATTTAATATATACACAAGTATTGTATTTGAGTTCAACCAAATACCAAATAGTTTTTTTCTTTTGATGATGTAAGTTCCCCATAATTTTAAATAAAAAAAATCTCACTTGGAATGTACAATTCGTTGAGATTTACATCATAAATTATAATTTATGGCCAGCAATAAACTCAACATGACGACAAACTGTTTGTCGTTGTTGCATTTGATTCGGATAAACCCTGTGCGTAATTTATAATGCCTGAACTTTGATGATGTCGAATGCACAGCACAACAAATCCCAACAATCCGAATGTGACTCTTAGAAATGTGGAAAATTAATTGAGACATATATCAGAACGGGTCGCAGGATTAAAACCACTAAAGCCACACACACACATAAAAACACTTGTAAAAAGTGGACACATGAAAATATTAACCAAAAACCCATACGCAAACAACACTAAAATTTAATTTATCTACACACACACACACATACAAACACACACACGCATATAGACCACAAAAATGGCAAGCAAAAGTTCAGCTTCTTGTTCGTGTGTGGTTAATTTTGTGCTTGAAGTTGACTATTTTTGAAACTGATTGACTCGTGGGCAGGTCAGTAACCACATTGATGCGTTTGTGTGTGGCTGTGTGTGTGGGTGTGTGTGGGTGTGTGTGAACACTGTATAAACAGAAGCCCAAGAGCAAGCCGCAATAGCAATAACTACAACAATGACAAAACAATTCATGTGGAGAGCAAAACGGACTCTAAGGACTCAACTCGAGTCAGTCACCTTGTTGACTTTACGAGTGGTCCGCCCCCATCTTTAATAGACCCCCTGCCCTCTATACCCTGCCTTTTTGTTGCTGTCAGCATGTCCTGTCAAATGTTCAAGTGTCAATTTTCTTGTTAATTAATTTTCCTGACTGACTGATGCATGCCACAGATAGGAGTCAACACCTCCCGTGCCAGTGCTCCAGCACCAGGTCCAACTCCAACTGACCTGATCCCTTGTCCAAGTGGCCGTTCAGTCGCTTTGATAGACTGTTTTGTTGCCATCAAGTGTTGTCTGCTGTTGTTATTGTAGTTTTTGTTATTACTGTTGTTGTTATTGGTGCTAGTGGTGCTGGTGGTGCAGGCTAATGACAGTCAAACGGCCACTTTAGCTGTGGGTCGAGTGTTTAAATTTCAAGCTGCCTTAGTTTGCCCTGTCCCTCCCTCCCTCCCCCCCTCTCTCTCTCTTTCTTTCTATCTCCCGCTCCCTTTTTTTTTTTTTTTTGCTGATATGTATGTATTTATTTCCTGTAGTTAAGCCATTGAGTGTATATACTTAAAATGTCCTTAAGTTTAGGTTATGTTGAACAAGTTGTCTAGCTGGCAGCGCTTTAAGGCATATACGAGTGTTGGGCAATAAACAAAGGAGATAATAAGCAAGTCAGTTAGGGCTCCATGCGCAACAAGGTAAGATAAGGAAAGTTCAGTAAGCTATTAGAATGTTTGCCCAAAAAACGATAAGAAAGCGAATTAATTAATAAAGTCCATGTGATAACATTGATGCTTAAGTTATGTTGAAGAAGTTGACTGGCTGGCAACGCTCTAAAGCATATGAGTGTTGATAAATGCGCAAAAATGGCAGACAATAAGCAAGTTTGTTGTTGGTGCTCAATGAGTAAAGATAATGAATGTTAGGTAAACTTTTTGGGCGTGTGTTGGGAACGTTAGCTCATGTAGTAACAGTTGCCTAGCAGACAGCAATAACGGAATTGCCAAAGGGTTTATGCGAGCCAAAGTATGACTTTGGTCAATGAAAGTAATCTGTACGACATAATTGTGTTTAGTTTTAATCACTTAGTTAGATTATGTAGTATTGAAAAAAATGTCTAACTGTATAAGCAAATAGTCATTCCATTTCTACAATATCGTTTAGAGTTTGGTTTTTGTAGTCCAAATATAATGTATATTTCCTATATAAGAATAGCATGTCAGCACACAAAGCGAAGTCAAAAGAACTCGACCCGAACCCATAATTATTTGTAGGTGTAGCTGTGTATGTCTGTGTTTGTGCACCATTTGGACAAATTGCACAAAAGCACATACATACACACACTATATATGTATATATATATATATATATATATATATGACTCGAACTCAAATTGGAGCTGTATCGAATGAAAAGCACCGCACCATTAGTCATATTAATCCCAGCAGAGTCATTAAGTCGTAAAACTGCGAAAGGTAGCCAAGTGCCAGCTGTAGGCTTACTTTGGTCTTCGCCTTCGTCTTATTTTTCCTTTTCACTTTGCCTTCTGACTGATATATATGTAAGTATCATTTCGGGTATGCACAGGCAAACAAAAACAAAAATATATGTGTTTTATGTAAGTTTTTTGTCCTGGTGTATGAACAGGAACAGGTATTTAGGTCAATTTGGCCATTCATTTCGCTTTGCCGCTGTTTGCGTCCAGTCAATAAATAAATAAATAAAGCCGACTTTAAGGTAACCACGTCGTATACTTAATTTCGATAATGTGTTAAGTGTGGCACTGTCTCCTTTATTGTAATCGTTTAACCTTTAAACAAGTTAAGTGAGCGTAGCTTATGACCGCCCATCGTTCGATAAGCAAAAACATTGCTCAAAGCAAATAAATAAGCATAATTTTCAGTAAATTAATCTTAATCTTAATCTTAATAAAATTAAATCAAACCCTCAAATGCCCAGTTAAAAAGTGTCTAGTTTTGATAATGGTATGGCATTGAGATAAGTTTGAATGCTCTTCATAGTAAAAGTACAAGACACACATTATATTTTTGATTTGTCTTTTAGTCATCTGCGTGAAAAAACACCCCATATTACGTATACGACGGGCTTGTCAGCGAGTATTTTCATACAATTAATTGTAACACGTTAGCGACAACAAAAAAGGCCCAGCTTTAAAATATTCCACAACCACTTCAGTAACTACCTGCTCCTCCATATACTCCCCCCTACCGATTCCCCCTTGTAACCCTGGCGTCAGACAACGTGGATATTTTTGACATTTTGATTAGCGTCTACAGCTTAAGAGCGTCTTTAATTTAATTTCTGTCTTTATGTTTATTTATGTTAGCTTGCCGCGATCAAAGCGGTTGGTTGGCAACAATTGCAAATTTTGAAATTTCGTAAAGTAACAGGACCAAAACCAGATCCAGGACCAGGACCAGCACCAGCACAAGAATGCGAACGGCAGCATTTTGCTTGCCTTCGACCGCTTCCAATGCAAATTAATATCTTTATTGCTGTGTGTATATTTTGTGTAATTGAATTTTGGAAATTGATTTCTTCGTGCCGCATATTTTATTAATAATTATTGAATTTGCATTTGCTTCTGCTACCGACTGAAGCCCAAAGGTGGACAGCAAATAATAACACGCATGTCAAACGGGAAGTCGCAACCGTAGTCTACTTTTGGGCGCTGATGTAATACTGATAATACCTTTGACCACAATTTTGCTAGCTCCTCGAAATATGTATTTGGTGCGCGAGACATCCGTCAAGGCAGCCGCACCCAACAGGCCGACAGACAGACAGACAGGCAGACAGACAGACAGACAGGCAGACATGTAGCTCATTCAGCTACGGCCAACGATTAATCACAGTTACAGTTTGCGTTTTTTGCGCAGTTCGCTCAGACAGGTATATAGATATATATATATATATATATATATATATATATATATATATGTATATACAACTTTATATGCATGCATAGTTATTTATGTGGAATTACCATTTATTTTTAGTCGCACAATGACGAAAACACTTAATGACAAGGCACGGAAAGAAGGACACCGCAACAGGAAGTCACATAATAACAGGAACCGGAACGCACTTGACAAATATTTATATGCTCTAACACAATTTGAAGACATTTACACTTTGCGTTCAATTGAAATATTTATAAATATATTCAAAATTTAATAATATTCAAATTCACACTTTAAAGTCAAATTTAATTTAACTTTAGCTTTTAACGAGCTTCATAAATAAAGTTGTGAATATTTTTAAAATCTCTACAAAGATTTAAATACTATTGGCCAAACTTAAACCTTTAAAATAATATAATTTATATATAATATGTATATAAATTATTCACCATTATTTATATTATATACCTTTAACTAAACTACAGAAGGATCTCTAAAATAGTTAATAATTATAAACTTAGAGTATAAAATAACCCGCATGCTATCATTATATAATAGAATTATAATCCTAATCTAAAAAGAAGCTCGTAAAATGCATATTTTATCTTAAGTGCATTCGAAATTCGTTGAAATTTGTAGACAGTATTCAGGCCTTCATTCATAG